ATTGATGACAGATATCTAAGATCCTGCATAGTATACAATGATTTTCCATCTCGACTTATTAATTATTTCACAAACATCAGGAAATATTTGGATAAAGATGAGGCCAATTTCCTGTAGTCTTGTGGGATAATTGACTGGATGATAGTGAATCTACCTTGTATTCTATATGTAAATTAATCTGGTGGAGATAAGTTAATGTTCAAGCGTTTGAGATCGCATAAGAGTGCTGGGATCTAGTTGTTGAAATATTTTGCAGTTTTGTAAGGCCATTCAACTAACGGTGATACTGGTAACCATTCTTTAATTTGCAGTTGTAACAGCTGTATATTAGTGGATAAGCCTAGTAGGCCAATATCATTGAGGGATGTCAGTAAGGCATCACTAAATGCTTGTATATGTCAGTGATAGAGGTGTATTACTCCATAGAAAGATTTGGAGTGTAGGAGACAAGAAGGCGTATCTCGTGAAAAACAAAGTTTTTTCTTAAGCCAAGTTCTGAAGGATCATATGATATGATCTGTGAGTGCTTCTGATAAATGAGTCAGTTAAGTACGATATTCAATGTGAGGTATAATGACAACGTTAAATGTGTAAGTTAGTAATTTGTTAGTCAATTTTTTACTAAATAAAGTAGCAATTGTGAGCTTAACGTCCTGAACAGCTTGATTAACGATGAACGTCTTATTACATCTGAGTGAGATTCAGACCCCTAAGTATCTAATAGAGTCTTTAGGATTCTTAGCAATCATCGTATAGGTGGAGCCGTTGACATATGTTTGAATGTTCTAAGTTGTGTTGATGTTGGTTAAAAGATCTGATTTTGACCAATTCACTTGTATGCTATTTAGGTCATAAAAACTATTAGCGATATCAATAATTCCATTAAGTTATTGTTTAGATCCAGTGATCCACAGTGTATCGTTCATATATGCTAATATTGATATTTTGCATGATCATTTATCGAAAGCATTTAGGCGAACGTTAGATTTCTATTCTGTTCATATGGTATAGCCCAGATCAGAAATTTGCACTTGACATAATAGGGGATCGTAATAGATACACCACAGGAGAGGTGAAATAATTTTATTTTAATCAATATTAGAGAAAACCTTGTATGTATCTGTAAGCCCAAAGGAGGTAAAAACTTGATTACTCCTATATACGAACATATTTAGGATGAAGAATATAAATTCTTTAGGAAGCTTTAAACGTTCGAATGCTCTAACTATCATAAAGATATTAACGCAGTTATAAGCTTTTAATATATCTTGTAGAAGGACTCACAATTCTTTTTTGTTAGAGAGGGTGTCATTTTTAATATTATCAAGGATGTGTAAGGGTTTAAAGGTAAAGTGAAGAGGGAGTCCTGTGAAGTTATGTCCTTTGAGAATATTATGTTAGATGAAGACTGTTGAGAGTCGCGTATTAATAAGTTTTATAAGAGCTTTTCTTAGGCATTCTAGTAAAGTAATTAATCTTGTATTATTTAGGTCAAATTCCCCAAGGTTTGGGTTTTGGAATTGGGTAAACATATGCTAAATTCCATTGATGTAAAAGTGTTAAGATCGACAAACAATCACATATTATATATCAAAAAATCTTTTTCACTATAGGGCCCAGATGTTTGAGTATTTCATTTGAGATTTTGGATGATTCAGGTGCTTTTTCATTAGCAAGAGAATCAATGATAGAATACCATTCTTCCGCTGAGGGTGGTGACATCAAATTATCATATATACTAGAATCAATATTTCTGAGTAAGCTGTATGTAGGGAGCTATTTGTCAGGAATGTTTTTCAGTTTATGTGTAGTATCTACCGCTCTTTGAAAATGATCATTAACTGTTTGTTTAACTAAGTATTCATCTGTGAGGAGATCTTGAACATTTCGTGATAAATATTTGTCTAATACTATTGTTTTTCTTATACGATTTAATGCTGAATCAAGTATATTTTTAGGATTGTTAGTATATGCTTCTAATCGCTGATCTAAATGAAGGCAAGTTTGTGTTCATGTTTGTAAATTTTAGCCTTATATAAGAGGACTTTAAGTAGAAGAACCATATCTGATAGGAGGAGGTTGACAAAATTAAATGGGTAATCTGGTTGTGAATGCGCAGTAGTAAATGCAAATGAGTTAGCAATATTACAAAAATTGTCATACATTTGTATCCAATTAACAGGAAATGAATTGCCTTGTTTGACTTTAAGAAGTAACTTTTTGAACTTGTGTAAGATTTTTTGATGTGAGTATAATCTTCTGAGGCTAGATGGCCTTGGATATTTAAATTGTCCTGATGATTTCCTGAGTAGTATGCATTTTTTAGCTGCTTTGATTAAGAGATTTTGAAAGAGATCTCAGTGTTTGTTAAGCAAGGAGTACATCCAATATATCTTTTGATTTATTGTTTTAGTTTTGCTACCATTCAGTAGTGCATCAAGTTTGTTTCTGAATTTGTTCCATAGGTCTTCGTTCATTTTGTCAAAATCAAAGCTGATCTTTTTAGATATTTTCCGTTTGTTAAATTTAATATCTAAGAAATTCGTAATTATAGCAATAACTATATGATGATATATTCATGTCAGACGCAATTGTGGGACAATCTAATAAGTTAAGGGAGATATCAGTGGAAGTCCAAATGTAATCTATCCTGAAAGAGATTTGACTCAAAAAATAAGTAGAAACGTTAATTTTATTCTGATCATGTTTGATTGTAAAAACATCAAACAGTAACAGTCTGTATAAATCTTTAGAGTTTTAGACTGTTGGTAGAATTGTGTGTCTGATCTATATCAGTATTAAAGTCTCCTAGGATGATTAAGTGAAAATCATTGATAGTGGCTTCATTAATCTATTTGTTAAGAATCAATTGGATTTCTTTCCTCATTTTAAGGTCAGCTGGCAGTAGATAGCAATTTATAATATGAAGTTTTTGTTTATTTGTAAATTGTAAATTAACATAGATGACTCAGTCAAGCTTAGTGTCATATTTGTAGACATAATGAGCAATCTTTTTGTTGAGTATTATCCCAACACCAAATGCAGTGTATTGTTTGGGAGTTGAACTAAAAAATGATATAAAGGAGGGATGTGATGGATTAAAATTTTTTTCATGTTAGGATTTAAAGTTAGTTTCTTAAAGACTAATAACATCTAAGTTATACAAAGAATATAATGATAAGAAATAGTGTTATTTAGTGATGTTAGTAAAGGATCAGATATTATGAGTTGCAAAAGAAAGTTTGGATACATTAATGGAGGTTATATTGAAGTTATCATTAGGTGGGGAAATATATTGTTAATATTTATAGGGATAGTAATTATAAGAATATTTTTAAAATTGGGAAAGACCCTTCAGAATCTTTTCTACTTCTATATCATAATTAGTGTTAAGGATATATGTTGTTGGCGTTTTGTTAATTTGTAGTAGGTTATTGTGAATGAGAACTGCATGGAATTTGTTACAAGTGTTGACTAAAGTATTGACCATTTCAGTGAAGTTCTTGAGGCGTAAGTTTTGAGTATTTGCAATTTCTATGAGAGCTGCAATAGTTTGTCTTTGTTTACTAATGATTAATGTGAAAGCATCGACAACAGGACCATTTCTGTATTATTCGATATCATAATTAGCCATTGTTTCTTCATCAGGAAAGCTGACCTTAATATTGAGTGTTTGTTTGATTATCTTTATTCTTTTTATGATGGAGTTCAGAAAAAGCGTAGGATCATCAAGTTTCTAGGTGAATTGCGTAAAACTAGCTTTGATAAAATCTTTAAAATTATTATCAGAGTTCTGCTCGTATATAGAGCCTCTGCTTTCGTTCCTGTAGAAACATCACGTAGTTTATATTTTAGCTGATGGGAATGATTGTATTGTTGCTCTATATTTGGAAGAATATCATCACTTCAGTCTGGTATTAGGCCTGAGGTTGTTTTAGAGGACTATTATTATTGTTCTTTAACACAGAATGTGGATTTGCAAGTTCTTTAGTCGTTTTTAAGAACCATCAGTAATAACATTAGCAAAAGTGATATTGAGGCTAATAATTCTTTTATGAGAATGAACTGAAGCTTTATAGTTGTTATATTATATTGGTTGAAATCGTTGATATAGATGTTGGATGTTTTTATCTTGAGGAGTGTGATGTTTTTTTGGACAATCTTTGATTTTGTAATGCGATAAAGAGCAGATAGCACATAATTTGACTTTGGTTTCAGTCTATTCAACATGTTTGCCATTGATTGTGAGGTTATCATTACTGATTGCTGCTTCGTAGTCATCAGCTGAAGGGAAGTAAAAGAAGGCATGTTGTAGATTGTGGTAATTTGATCTGATTTTAGAAATAATTTAGGCTGTTGCGTTAATCATCAGACCTACATCAGATAAGTCTTTACCCATGATGTAATGAAGGAGGTATGTAAGTTTAGCTGAGAATTTTGATCGTTCTAAGATCTTGTCACGTGGTAGATCACACATGTGAAAACGAACTATATTATTTAAAAGAAAGACACTATGTCCTTTTTTAAGTTTGACAAAATTAGCGTCTGAATCATATGTGATCGTAGCTTATTGTCAGGGGTTTTTTATTTTCATATTAATTCTAATGATCTTGCTAAATTGAGAAAAAATTTTTTTAATGCGTAATTCTGTGACATTCAATAGTATTTCAGTAACTTTAATTGATTATTGTAGAACGAATGGATGTTTTAGTACGATTTTAAGAGGTAAAAATGTGCAATTTTTCAAATTAGGTAAGATGACTTTACAGAACGTATCCCTTTCGTCCTTATTAGAAAATATCGCTTTTAAAATCTTTTTTGATTAGTTCTTTGGGTATTTGGCAAGCATAACACCCAAAAAAGAATCAAACTGATCAAAAACAAGGTTAGTGACGTCAGAGATTTTTGTTTGAAAGATTTTTCAGGGTAATCGTTTACCAGAAAAAATGCGAATAAATTCATTTTTTTGATAGAAATCTTTTGAAGACTTTTCTTATTATTCAAAAAATTTCTGAGGCATCGTTAGTATCATTAACGTTTATGAGTGCTTGTTCAGAAGTGACAACTAGAGTTGTTTCATCTATTAAAACTTCTTTACCCTTTCCTTTATCAAGCGAAAGAGGATCGATGTCTATAATAACTGAAGTTTTTTTGTTGTTGTTGTTGGTGAAGACTTTACTTTCAGGTTTAGTAGTCTGTAAAGTATTCTGTTTTTTACTTGGTTGTTGCTCTGGAGTACCAGAGCGAGAGCGAGGCTGTTGTTTTTGTTAGTTTTTATTATTCTCTTTTTTTGGTCTGCCCATGTTGCGAAAAGAGTTTTTTTTGTTTATTTTATTTTTTATTTTTTTTAAGTGTAGTAGTTTTGCATGATTTTTATTAAATTCAAAGTACAAATAACAAGGTTAAAATATACAAATTTAAGAAAATATAAAAATCTCTATTTAACTAAACTAAATTAAGACTGACCCTGCACTTTCCCAGAATCTATTCCCAACTTAAGCTAAAAATATCATATTCCAGTAACTAACTGAATGAGAAAGGGCTTGGCCACTACGACACCAAAAATCCAACCAGTGGGATCCATATCGAATCATTTTGTTGACAGATTTGTTAATGTAGGTAGGAGGAGTAGCACTTGTAATGTGATATCCTGTTGCAGCAGTATTTTCTTTCTTTTTCTTTAAGTTGATGTTATGTGATTTTTCGAATGCAACTTGATGGGAATACCGTTCAACCCATAATGCCTGTGTTTGTTCAAATAGGTGATGCATAAATGCTGAAAGCGTCACATAGGTGAGGTCTTTTGATCTCATAGCGTTATAAACAAATGTGTACAGCATTTGAGAAATCATTTCTTTTACGAGTGTGGGTAAGTAAGGAGAGCACTCAGTAGACATATGTCATATGTGTAGATTGGAGATGTTCATAGTTGAGCCACTGTTTTGAATTAACTCTTGTAAGACTTGTTGTGAGTTTCGTATAATATTTTTTATTTGGGTCCAGGTAACTGGACATTTCTAAATGTGGGAGAAAGTTTCATTGGCGCATTCACATTTGACACAAAGCCATGATTGGTCAAAAATGCTAGGGTGTCTTTCTTTTAGAATTTCTATAGTGGGAAACATTTCTAAGAGTCTTTGGACTTTTTTCTTTCAGACTGCTGAAGCTTCATATGTTATATGTATCACAGCAACATTATCGTTGATGTAAAAACATGTGGCAGACCAGTTAATATTCAAATAATGGTATTTGCTGATTATGTGCAGGTGCCTTATTTTATCATACATTAAGGATTGTATGACGTTCTTCATAAAGAGGCGGATAGGTGTCAAAATTTCTAAATCTTTATATTTATAGTAGTAATGATCACTATGAGAGAAGTCAAACCTAAGCGCTATCATCTTATAAGAGTTCTTTGCAAGATGGTCAACTTTGTCATTTAACATATCTCCTGAATGAGCTTTAACTTTATAAAAGCGTATATTGAGGTATTGTGATTTGATGACTTTGAAGAGGCTTAGCCATATCGAAAAGTTATTAATCTTGAACAATGGTCTGGTAGAAGGAGAGAAACATAAAATTCTTTTGAAATTGTGAAATTGTCTAATTACAACTTGTGAATCTATCATAATGGTAATTTGACTATTCTTTGAAGCAACGAGAATAGCAGTAAAAATTGCTGCTAGTTCTGCTATTGATGATGAGAGAAATTTAGTAACTAATGCAAATGAAAAGGAGATCATAGGTGAACAAGAATTCGTTTGCAGCCAAGCCATGCCCATTCTCATCGAAGGAGTACCTAAACCTGTAAGGGAGCCGTTCATATAGAATTCTAATTATGTAGCAGCAGAAAATTTTTTCGAAAGAGTTAGTAGTTCATGACTATGTGATGGCATAATAAATTTTGATATTAATGAGAGAGGTGCTAGACAGCGAAATTCAATTAGGGGTAAATTTAAGGGGCTATTATAAAACTGATTAAATTTATAGAGTGCGATATCCTTCATGAGTATTGGAGACCAGGTGTTGACATGTTGCTTCTATGTATTTTTTATTGCTATTTTCACACAGAGATTGAGAGGTGCAGTCACTATGCACTTATGATTATTAAGCCAAGGGGAGTTGCTTTTAAATAGTTTGGGTCTATGGAGTGAACACCTGTTATATTGGTGCAGAATTGTATCAGTAGCATGAGTGTACGTGTAATGATCAAAGTTAGTAAAACTGCTAGTTATCTTCAGAATACAACCTATTATCATCGTATTGGCGTTGTAATCCCAATATGTAATAAATGATCGGACTGTTATATCGTTTTGTAGTGATATCATTGGAAATCTGTAAGTAGGGTTTTGTCTATAGGTTGTATATTCAGGTAACGAGTTAAGCTCATCAATGTTAAGTACACTTTAATTTTGAGATACCAATTTGGAAGCGGTCCTTTCCTGAAAATCGATGATAAATAACTAAGATCATAGGTAGTATACAATGATTTTCTATCTCGACTTAATAATTGTTCTACAAATATTAGAGAACATTTGGATAGGAATGGAGCTGATTTCCTATAGTCTTGTAATATTAGTGACTGTATGATAGTGGAACCATCTTATATTCTATGTATAAATTGATTTGGTAAAGACAAGATGATATTTAAACGTTTGAGATCATATAAGAGTACTGGAATCCAGTTGTTAAAATATTTGGCATTTTTGTAAAACCATATAACTAGCGGTGATACTGGTAACCATTCTTTAATTTGCAGTTATAACAGCCGTATATTAGTGGTTATGTTTAATAGACCAGTGTCGTTCAGAGATGTCAGTAAAGCATCACTAAGAGCTTGCATGTGTCAGTGATAAAGATGTGTAATTCCATAAAAGAATTTTGAGTGTATGAGACAAGCAGGTGTATCTCTTGAAAAATGGAATTTTTTCTTGAGCAATGCTCTGAAGGGACGTATAATGCGATCTGCCAGTATTTCTGATAAATGAGTCAATTGAGTACGATATTTAATGTGAGGTATAATGATAACATTAAACGTGTAAATAAGTTGTTTGTCCGTTAGTTTTTTATTAAATAGTGTAGCAACCGTAGACTTAACGTCCTGAACAGCTTGTTTGACGATAAACATCTTATTACATTTTAGTGAAATTCAGACTCTTAAGTATCTAATAGAGTCTTGAGGATGCGTAGCAGTAATTGTATATGTAGAGCCATTGACAAATGTTTGGATATTCTAGACTGTGTTAGTGTTAGTCAGAAAATCTGATTTTGTCCAGTTCACTTATATACTGTTTAAGTCATAAAACTATTGGCGATATTTATAATTCCATTGAGCTGTTGTTTCGAATCTGTGATCTATAGTGTATCATCTATATATGCTAATACTGAAGTTTTGCATAATTGTTTAGAAAGGGTATTTAGGCGAACATTAGGTTTCCATTCTGCTGACATGATATAGTCAAGATCGGAATTTTGCACTCTGCATAATAGAGGATCGTAGTAAATACACCACAGGAGAGGTAAAATGATTTCATTTTGATCGATACCTAAGAAAACCTTGTAAGTATCTGTGAGTCCAAAAGAAGTAAAAACTTGGTTTTTCCTTAGTATAAACATGTTTAAAATGAAGAATATAAAAGCTTTAGGAAGCTTTAAATGTTCGAGAATTCTGATCATCATAAAAATATTGACGTGATCGTAAGCTTTTGACATGTTTTGTAGAAGGACTCACAGTTCTTTTTTATTAGAGAAGGCGTCATTTTTAATATTATCTAAAATGTGCAGAGGTTCAAAGGTAGAGCGAAAAGGAAGTCCTGCAAAGTTATATCCTTTAAGGATATTATATTGGATGAAAATTGTTGATAGTTGTGTATTAATGAGTTTTATAAAAGCTTTTCTTGGACATTCTAGTAAGATGATCAGCCTAGTATTATTTAGGTCAAATTCCTAAAGTTTGGATTTTAGAATTGAGTAGATATACGCTAAGTTCTAGCAATGAGAAATTGGTGAAATCGACAAACAATCACATATTAGATACTAAAAAATCTTTTTAGCTGAAGGACCTAGATTTTTAAGCATTTCATTTGATATTTTGGATGGCCCAGGTGCTTTTCCATCAGCAAGAGAATTCACGATAGAATACCATTCTTCTGCTGAGGGTGGTGACATCAAGCTATTGTATATATTAGAGTCAATGTTTTCAAGTGAACTGTACGAAGGGAGCCATTCATCAGGGATGTTTTTCAGTTTATGTGTAGTACCTGCTGCTCTTAGAAATAATCGTTGACTATTTGTTTAACTAAGTATTCATTTATGAGGAGATCTTGAGCATTTCGTGATAAACACCTGTCTAATACAATTGTTTTTCTTGTACGATTGAGTGCTGAATCAAGCATTTTTTTTGGATTATTAGCATACATATCTAATCATTATTCTAAATTTTTCTGTATAGAGGTGAGTTTGTATTCATTTTCGTGAATTTTGGTCTTGCATAAAAGGACTTTGAGTAGAAGAACAGTATCCGATAAGAGGAGGTCTACAAAATTAAATAGATAGTCTAGATGTGAATGTGCTGTAATAAACAATATTTGTCATACATTTATATCCAATTGACAGAAAATGAAATGTCTCTTTTGACTTTGAGGAGTAGCTTTTTGAACTTGTGTAAGGTTTTTTGATGTGAGTATAGACTTCTGAGACCGAGTGGTCTTGGATATTTGAATTGGCCAGAAGATTTCCTAAGTAGTATACATTTCTCAGTTGCTTTAATTAAAAGATTTTGGAAGAGGTCCCAGTGTTTGTTTAGCAAGAAGTGCGTCTAGTATGTTTCTTGGTTGATTATTTTCAATTAGCTACCATTTAGTAATGCGTCGAGCTTAGCTTTGAATTTACTCCATAGGTCTTCATTCATATTATCAAAATTGAAGCTGATTTTTTGGGAATTTTGCACTTGTGAAATTTAATGTCTAGAAAATTCGTGATTATAGCAACGATTACGTGGTGAGCTAATATGTTTGTATTGAATACAATTATATGATAATCTAACAAATTGAGGGAGATGTCAGTAGATGTCCAGATGTAATCGATCCTGGAAGAGGCTTGACTCAAAAAGTAAGTAGGATAGTGAGTTCTATTTCGATCGTATTTGATTGTAAAGGTATCAAACAGTGATATTCTATGAAAATTATTAAAGAGTTTTAGGCTGTTAGTGAGATTATGTGTTCAATTCATGTCAGTGTTAAAGTCTCCCAAAACG